CCTTGGCCAAACGGAATGAGATAGACAAATTTCTTAAACAGACGTTGACTGGAGATGAGAAATGGATCACATAGGATCACCCTGTGCGAAAACAATCGTGATCAAAGAGCGGTGAAGCACCTCAAACGATTGCCAAATTAGGACTAACGGCCAAGAAGGTTCTGCTATGCATTCGGTGGGACTGGAAGGGGATTATTTATTAAGAGTTGCTCCAATTTGGTCAAACGCTAAATGTTGATCTCAACTGTCAAAACTGGACCGTTTGATAGCAATTGACCAGAAACGGCCAGAATTGGCCAACAGGAGAGGTGTCGTGTTCCATCAGGATAACGCAAGGCCACACACATCTACAGTGACTCGCCAGAAACTTCGAGAGCCATATAGTCTGGACTTGGAACCAAACGATTATCATCTTCTTGTGGCATTGCAAAATTTTTTTATTTATAAAAAATTGGTATCCAGGGAGGATTGTAAAAATCGTTTGCTAGATTTTTTTTTTTTTGCAAATAGAGAGAAGCACTTCTATGAGAGAGGCATTATGATGTTACATTTAAAATGGCAACAAATCATACAACAAAACGGTGCATATTTGGCCCAAAGCTTGTTAAATAAAGTCCTATATAAAAATAATGGATTTATTTTTCCCTAATCTATTATATGAATACTGTTCAGAAAGTGTTGCCAATGTCGGGATTTCTGCATTTTATTAATGAAATTCATAAAACTTTAAATACTGTTTCTTGTCGGAGAGAGTAAAAAAACTTTGGAGTCGGTGTGTTTATGGTGGCCAATTTTTATGGCACTGAAATTCTTTGTCGTTTTAATTTTTCTATTTCGATTTAATCTTTTATTCTTCTCCTTATGTTATTTCTCGTCTCTTTTTATTTACTTACATGTTCATGTCCTGCGTCATTAGAACATTCGTATCGTATCAACACTTGTTTGATATATTGTTTATATCGAAATCATTTGGAAAATACATATGCGAATTTTGTAACACCTATGCAGGGGTCGGTAAGAAACAATGGAATGCAAAACTAGTTATAGTCGACGGAAAACGATACCAAAACAAAACATAGTCCTGCAATGAAAGGTGCTTTGTCTTTTTCTTGAGAGGAGTGCATTTGTTTTTGTCAAAAAAGGGAGAGAGGAAAAATGAGCGCAAATAGAGGTAAAGTAGAACGATGTAGGAAAATAGTTGTGATAATTATGAAATGTTAAATATATTTATATATTATCTGTATACATTTTTGTTCATACCACCCTCGTCAATTTCACCATCAAATAACAACCACAGAAACGGTGTGCTTAAGTGGATACCTCTAAAGCAGGTTCCAATTGTTGATTGTTTGGTTAATGATGGACTCAGTGGCGGATTGACTGGATGTGAACGAGTGTGCTTGGTCTGTTTAAATTGGTTAGAGTGTATAGGCCAACATATATACAGACATAGCGGTAGTTAACACAAATTTGACCACGAGCTGCAATGGTTTTCGGATAGGGGAGATCACATAGGACGATACTACAAAAATTTCAGCCTATAAAAGTTCTGTTTTGCGATTTCCCGTCAATGTTAGAGTGTAGGTCCTAACAAATTGTTTGCAATTTTTTTTTTTAATTTTTTATGCGATCATCCTATGTGAATCTCCCTATTCCCCGAGAGCCTATAATTGCATTGTATATTCATTCATTCAATTGCTTGCACTCCAACTGTGATAGTCATAGTCCTATGGGCTTTTATTGGTGAGGCTATGGTTAAATTTTTCATTTGTTGTTGTTGCTGCTGCTGTTGCCATTGCTGATGATGTTCACAACGATAATATTGTTGTCACAACGCTATTGCGGCTCATTCTGGTCCCTATTCACCCTGGCCATTTACGTTGGCCGTAATGATGTTGATGCCCGCAATAACACAATGACTTTAGTGAATACTACTACCAACAAAACAATACAAAACTAAATTGATATGGGTGTTTCCATAATAAACAATGGACGATGGATCAAAGATAGCCTTTAAGAGATCTACAGCAAACCATATATATTAACGAAATATATATACTACCTTTACTGTAAAAAATACAAGTCTGTGGATTCGAATGCCCTTGAACATTTTTGATCGGACTGTCCTCGAAAAAACATTCTAAAAATTATCCAATATTACACAATCATTATGTGGATCACCTCCAAGATAAAGAATGTCTATAGTGGGTCTAATCCTGTAGAAAGTATATAATGAATTTTCTATATATAATAAGCTCTTTCCTGTATAGATATCCAGATATCCTGGCTTTCTCTCTTCCTCCCTTCTACACAAAGTTTCTGTAGGTGAAAATCGGCTGATTTCCCCTAACAAATATCGATTTTCGAAATCATGCCTAAACATCGATCCACCCATATCAATAAAGCCACGAGAAGCCAGTGCGTGCGTGTATGGCTTGTTATGAGAATGACGATACAAACTGTAAGGAAAAATGCACGTTGTTCGAGTAATGTGTTCATTCTTATGGACAGACGGACAATGAAATAAACGGAGAAGAGCAAAAAACGCTATTTGTTTTTGGATGCTGACTGCCGAGCTGTGGTACTGCGTCAATAGTTGTTATTTGCAATGTTTTCTGAAACGTTCGTGATGGTGTGTTTTTTGCCCCAACTCTTCTTCGTTTCAATGTAGGATACGTGGATGTTGAACGTTTAAAAATGTGTTCAAAATGTTCAATGGAATTGTTCAAAATGTTATTACATACTTGAGCTGAAACAGAAAAAAGCAAAAATACGAAACAACAATAAAAGCAATAACATCAACATCAGAAACAGCAACAACAGCCTAGACATATTCAAGCGGAATGAGAACATGCCATAAAAATGTTTGTTCGGTTTGTGGGCCTTTTAAAGCATTCGTCCGCGTCCATACATCAATTTTTATGGTTGTGCTTAATTATTATCAGAGGAGTCTGCCCGACAGACATAAAGACAATAATGTTTGTTCGTTTGTCTGTCCGCCTGGCTGAACAAAAGTACTACGTATTGAGAATCACTTAAGGAATATGACAACGACAAGTTCATTTAAATTTATTTATGCCCACACAGTTTCGAGTACAACCAACCAACCCAACCGAACAAACAAAACGGAATGGCTTGGCATGGGCGACTGACTGACAGACATCTCGTAAATGTATGACGACCATGCATGACACAGTAGATGAAATCATTTTTAAGCCTTTTTTTAACGAGAGAGAAATGTAAATGAAAAGTGTTGTTGGCGTTGTTGTTTTTGGAGGGCTCTAAAATACAATTTGGGTTTCAAGGAATTGTTTTTAACACAAGTAATGATTTCATTTGAAAAATGAAATCACAAAACTGATTTCTCCCCAAGGAGAATTGCATACATAAGATTATCATAATTACTCAAACTTAAAACACGATATTTAGTTTTATGGAAGGGTGGTTATCGCATAAATTAAAGTGCCATAAATTGGAATGATGTGGAACAGCCATCAAAAAGAGTGAATTTACTTGGTGCCAGGCTTTGTTGAGAAAATGAATTTCATTGACAAAATATGAAAATTTATCCATAACAGATTTTCGTTAGGATTTTTAAGACAAATACTATGGTTTATCTCTGTACAAGAACTATATAAACTTTTGTAATTAAAGCGGACCTCTGGAAGACACCTTGTGTATATCGGAACAACAGCAACCCTTCAATATAAATGGCTTGTATCGATATTTGACAAGAAAATATCTTGGAGAGATGGTCTATAGGCTGCATAATATCAACTTCTCTTATTCTGATAGGCCTTAATAAATGAAACTCAAAAATTACTCAGATTGCTCTGATGGTAATTGCATCTTTTACTGTAATTATCGTTGAAAAAATTCTCTTTGAAAATTTTACTTCTATAGCTCAGATTATCCTTGAATAAATATTCTTCAGATGTCAACGGATATAGCTCAGATTATCCTTCAAAAAATGTACTTCAAAATCCTAACTTTTTCCTGGAAAGACTTTCCTTAAAAAACCACATACAACTTAGATAATCCTTAAAAATATTTTTAAAAATATATCACAGATTATCCTTGAAAATATGCTCCTTAATAATTAAAGACTATGCTCAGATTATCCTTGAAAAATAAGCTTTAAAACTTCTTAGGTTATTCTTAAAAAATTTGCTCTTTAATTACTCAGATTATCTTTGAAAAAATATGCTTTAAAATTCCTAAGATTATCCTTGAAAAAATACTCTTTAATAATTCACGCCTATAGCTCATATTATACTTGAAAAATATGTGTTAAAAATTCTTATATTATTCTTAAAAAATATTCTTTAAAAATCCATGCCTATAGCTCAGATTATCCTTGAAAAAAATTTCCTTTAAAAACCATTAGATTATCCTTGAAAAATATTCTTAAAAAAATCCACGCCTATACCGTTAAAAATCCTTGAAAAAAATATTCTATAAAAATCGTGAAATTATCCTTGGAAAATATTCTTTAAAAATCTAAGCCTACACATCCAATTATCATTAAAAAATATTCTTAAAAAATCCATGCCTATAGCTCAGATTATCCTTCAAAAAATTTCCTTTAAAACCATTAGATTATCCTTGAAAAATATTCTTAAAAAATCCACGCCTATACCTCTAATAATCCTTGAAAAAGTATTCTATAAAAATCCTCAAATTATCCTTGGAAAAATATTCTTTAAAAATTCAAGACTATATCTCTAATTATCCTTGAAAACCTTCTAAAAATATACACTTCTACAACTCCATTTATACTTAAAAAATTGAAGTCTATACCTCCAATTATCCTTGAAAACCTTCTAAAAATATACACTTCTACAATTCCATTTATACTTAAAAACATCATAAAATCCCTAGGCATAAAACCAAAAAAAAAAAAAAAACTGTAATTTATTTTCAATTCAAAACTTTGCCAATATGTTATATAAATAATGTCCATAATATAACTTCATATCTAATTACGACAAAATACTTACCTCATGCTTGGCTTCCTCATATGTTTTGCCCTCCATCAGACTCATCGTAAATAGAAATGTACTAATGGCCATTGGATCGTATCCGGCTTGCTCTGTAATCGCTTTGCAAAAAGATGATTTGATGTCAGTGCGTGGCCACATAATGGAGGCCAGGCGCATCCATGCATAAACTGTGGGACCCATGAAGAAACAGCCGAATAAACTGAATCTGTCATGTAAGGAAGACATGATGGCGGCGGGTGGAGAGTTGAAGCGAGAAAAGAAGAAGAAAAAAATAAAAACGGAATAATCGAAGCTAGTCCATTAAATTCAATACGAGTGGGATGGATAAATGAATGAATGGACGAATGGATGGATGTGTGAGTAAGACCCCAACCCACCCACTGCCAATGTTGTTGCTGCTGGTGTTTTTTCTTGTCGTTGTTGTTGTCGACTGTTTACACAGGGGTGTCAGTGCAATTAATGATTGTTTGTTCAACTTGAATGTTGGGTGTAGATTGCTTGATGGCCGTTGTCAGTCTGTATTTTTGCCTGCCTGTCTGTCTGTGGGTCGACGGTCCCAGCATGCACACCACGTTTTCTGACTGTTTCCGGTGTAATACGATGGAGTCTTATGCCACACACACTCACTCGCACATCAAGGGGCCAATGGTTAATTAAGGTGTTAATTATTGTTGATCAATGGTTGGTTCATTCGTCGATGTAGGCTGTGTATGATGATTCTTTCGCTTGTAAATTGAATGACTGTTTTTTATATTTGTGTTATATTAATGAATGCGATTCGCTGCTAAACTTACTTAAGACATTTCTTCCAGTCATATGTGCGGAATGTCCGTTTCTCTATCAGTGTTTGCTCGGCCAATGATCCACAGGGCCATAGCAATCCATAGGCAAGCATGCCACGTAATACTTTATATTTGTGTGTAAAATCGGAAAATTTTCGTAACATTAACATTATCATTTTTGTTGCTGTTGTGCGGTGGGTTTTCTATTTATTTAGAGTGGTATTTATTTAGGTTGTTTAATATAGCAGGATATATGATATTGTTCAAGCAGGGGAGTGTTCTGTTGTTAAAGTTTCTTTCTTTCTGTTTTGCGAATGATGTTGTTTAATACTGGTGCTGCAAAGTAAAAAAAAATAAACATATTAATTTATCACAATAGAGAAAAAAATATTTTGAAATACATTTTTTTAAATAAAAAACATTTCTGGGCTGTTATAGAAATCCATACATGAAATACTCTTAAAAGACCATACATTTGGCGTAGATATTCCTTCCACGCCTATATTTCAGATTATCCTCGAAAAAACTATTCTTTAAAAATCCACTTCTATATCTCAGATTATCCTTGAAAAACTATTCTTTAAAAATCCACTCCTATATCTCAGATTATCCTTGAAAAACTATTCTTTAAAAATCTACGCCTATATCTCAAATTATCCTTGAAAAACTATTCTTTAAAAATCCACGCCTATATCTCAGATTATTTTTGAAAAACTATTCTTTAAAAATCTACCCCTATATCTCAGATTATCCTTGAAAAACAATTCTTTAAAAATCCACCCCTATATCTCCGATTATCCTTGAAAAACTATTCTTTAAAAATCCACCCCTATATCTCAGATTATCCTTGAAAAACTATTCTTTAAAAATCCACGCCTACAGCTCATGTCATCCTTAAAAACAATTTTTTAAAAATCCACGCCTATATCTCCGATTATCCTTGAAAAAACTTTTTTTTAAAAATCCACGCCTATATCTCCGATTATCCTTGAAAAACTATTCTTTGAAAATCCACGCCTATATCTCAGATTATCCTTGAAAAATTATTCTCTAAAAATCCACGCCTATAGCTCAGATTATCCTGTAATAGTCTTTGAAAAAATATTCTTTAAAATATCCACGCCTGTAAAAGCCCTTGAAAAAATATTCTTTCAAAATTCCACGCCTGTACACATTTGGCGTAGATATTCCTTCCACGCCTATATCTCAGATTATCTTTGAAAAACAATTCTTTAAAAATCCACGCCTATATTTCAGATTATCCTTGAAAAACAATTCTTTAAAAATCCACGCCTATATTTCAGATTATCCTTGAAAAACAATTCTTTAAAAATCCACGCCTATATTTCAGATTATCCTTGAAAAACAATTCTTTAAAAATCCACGCCTATATTTCAGATTATCCTTGAAAAACTATTCTTTAAAAATCCACGCCTATATTTCAGATTATCCTTGAAAAACTATTCTTTAAAAATCCACGCCTACAGCTCATGTCATCCTTGAAAAAAATTTTTTTAAAAATCCACGCCTATATCTCCGATTATCCTTGAAAAACTATTCTTTAAAAATCCACGCCTATATCTCCGATTATCCTTGAAAAACTATTTTTTAAAAATCCACGCCTATATCTCCGATTATCCTTGAAAAACTATTTTTTAAAAATCCACGCCTATATCTCCGATTATCCTTGAAAAACTATTCTTTGAAAATCCACGCCTATATCTCAGATTATCCTTGAAAAACTATTTTTTAAAAATCCACGCCTATAGCTCAGGTTATCCTTGAAAAATTATTCTCTAAAAATCCACGCCTATAGCTCAGATTATCCTGTAATAGTCTTTGAAAAAATATTCTTTAAAATATCCACGCCTGTAAAAGCCCTTGAAAAAATATTCTTTCAAAATTCCACGCCTGTAATTGTCCTTCAAAAAATATTCTTTCAAAATTCCACGCCTGTAATTGTCCTTCAAAAATATTCTTTCAAAAATCCACGCTTATATCTCCAATTATCCTTGAAAAATATTCCCAAAAAAATCCACTCATGTAATAGCCCTTGAAAAAATATTCCATAACAAATCCAGGTTTGAAAATGTCTTTAACAAACCCTTCCTAGTAATAGACCTCGAAATAATATTGGTAAAACGTCCGGATCTGTTAGTCCTCTAAAATGCTCTGAGAAACCCACGCCCACAGCTCTCCTGGTAACTTGAGCGTATAGCTATAAGAATGCTTAGAACCTTGTCTTCAAAAGATCTACCCTTATAATGACTTGATCCGTTAAAAAGGAAATACAGCACTTTAAACTTCTTATAGGACTTCTTTTTAAAAGTTTATTGCGCTGGGTTCTGAGAAAATGCCCATTGGAAAAACAAAACTACCTAAACAAATTAAAACTGTAACACTTGTACTGAATTATGCATCTCATGAATATTTTAGCATTCCATACATTAAAATATCATTAACGGAATACCTCTCACCCCTTCGTCAAACATTTCGATTAGATTTAGCTGGCAGCTGTGTTTAGCTGGCAAACAAAAGGTTTTCAATGATATTTGGAAATTCTTAAATATGCTAAACATGTTTCAATTTTCATTAATGGCCTCGTAATGTTAACATCGTCGTCGTCAGTTTGTCTGTCTGCATATTTGTAATTCCCCCATTGCACTTTACCTTTCAATTTTCAAAACAGGAAAGGGGAAGGAATGTTAGACAAACGGATGAATGGTATGGTTGACTGACTGACTGAATGCATTGAATTGAAGTGTGAGTGTATGAGGAAATGATACAAGTGATTCAACCCACACAAAATTCTAAATTCACAATAAAATATTCTGTCCCGTAGCGGTACGGGAAATTTCCCACTTCTTGTTTTTCTTGATATATTCTACGGAGGCCCATTTGTATGTGTGTGGCATTGGAAGTATAGTATTTATCTTCCATTCCCTGTTGGTTTTAAATGCCATCTCTCCAAAATTTCAACAGCTGCCAAATTGCTTTAACATGAAAATTAAAGTGAAAACCAAATCCGAAAACCGATTTACAGAAAAGTAATTAAGTGAAGTACTCGTAGTGTAGTGTAGTTGTTAGTGCTCGGTGTGTCTTCTTTCGCCGCTGATGATGATGGTGTGAAGAAGAATATTCCGTCAACATGCAATTACAAAACAAACAAACAAACGAGTGGATGGCGACGACGACGAATGGCTATGTAGTGAGCTAGCCCGACCAACCAACCATCATAAACATCCTGGACGCCTTTCCCAACAATAAGAACAAATGAAAAATACAATAAAAGCGACCACCTCAGGCTAATTTCCGCCATGAAGTAATTTAAGAAGTTCAGGCAAATGATGATGGTTTGGTGAGACGACGAATGCTGAGCCATAGAAAATCCCTATGATGGTACTTGTTTTATGTTTGAAAAAAAAAAAAAATAAAAAACAATTGAAGATGTTCACAACACCCTTTTTTGCCTAGGTTTTGTTTGTGTTTTAGTTGCTGTCATTGTATTTCTGAAAATCTCAACAATCCCCTTTTCCATTGCATTGGGACAGACGGATGGGACGAATGGCAGTGATTACCAACCCAACCAACATTTGTTGGCATTTAAAATGAAATTGAAATTTCCAAATGTGTTTTTAAATGCATGAAATTACCCTGAGCAGACAAAACGAATGTTGCACCCAGTTGTCGTGGCCTTTGCCAACTTTTGTTTGGGTGTGGATTAAAAAATAAATAAATAAGAGAAAAAACTGCAGTACATGAAATATACGCCCAATATTTAGCGTTGTCGTCATAAACAGTGGGGTTAAAAAAAGAGGATTTTTTAAACATATTTTATCTCATTAAATGAAATACATTTTTTTCAAAGGCAAACTTGAAAAAATATTCTTTAAAGAATCCACGCCTGTAATAGTCCTTGAAAAAATATTCTTTAAAGAATCAACGCCTGTAATAGTCCTTGAAATAATAATCTTTAAAAAATCCACGCCTGTAATAGTCCTTAAAAAAATATTCTTTAAAAAATCCACGCCTGTAATAGTCCTTAAAAAAATATTCTTTAAAGAATCCACGCCTCTAGTAGTCCTTAAAAAAATATTCTTTAAAGAATCCACGCCTGTAATAGTCCTTGAAAAAATATTCTTTAAAGAATCCACGCCTGTAATAGTCCTTGAAAAATATTTTTTAAAAAATCCTTAAAAAATATTCTTTTAAGAATCCGCGCCTGTAATGGTCCTTGAAAAAACATTCTTTAAGAAATCCAATCCATTCCGAAAAAACATAAATTATAAAATCCAGGTATGAAAATCAAAAATGTAATTGAAAATTTGAAAATTTTTTAAATCCAGGATTGTAATAATTCTTGAAAGAATACTCTTTAAAATCCTCCTTAGTCCTCTAAGGACTGCTAATACTTTTGATAGGGTTTTCAGGTGTTCAATTTTTTATTATAGATTTTTTTCAATAACTATCAAAGCATGGATTTTTCAAGGACTACCATATGGTGGATTCCTTAAAGGAATTATAGGCAAAGGACTATCTGATTCCTATAAGATTTTTATAGGAATCAGAGCTTGATTTTTAAAATAAATGTTTAAGGACTCATTAATCGTAAATATTCAAAAATATTTTCTCAAGGACTATTAAGCCGTTTTTTTTAAATAAAAACTCTGTGTAAGGGTCAGATCGTGATTGTTTGAATAATATTTGTAGGACAATTTAAAAATATAAATTTTTAAGAGTTTGTGGTTTTCAATAATTTCTAAAATATTTTATTTTCAAGTACTATATCAGCAACAAAATAAGATTTTTATGGATTTCTTTCTAAAACGAATATGATTATAAGTTTGGCCTGAAATATGTATATAAACTCACCCGACTTTGTTAGGAAAATTCCCAACGTCCCCTTTATTTCCCGTGGGTGCAATTAAACCATTTATAATTGTTTTAATTGTCAACCAAAAAAAGAGGACCCCTTTTTCAATTACAAATTGGATTAAAAAACCTGACAATTGTCTCCAACCCTCTTCTCAAGGCAAACAATAATTGCGTGTCTGGATTGCAATTAATGCGCCTGCTGTTGTCGATTTTTTTCGAAACATCATCCACCAACTACCGTTTTTTTCAACTCATTGTGTGATACGTTAAAATGTTGCTGATAAGACACACGACAAATAACATTCCAA